GTGTGTGTGTGTGTGTGCTGTCTGGCACAGGGCCAATCACCTGCTAATAATGTCACCACATTGGGGAGGTCATCACACCGTGTATGGAGAGAAATGTGTAACCTGACACGCAGCCACACAACTTCAGCTCCACACACACACTCTCCTGCGTTGTTGAACAAAAAGTCAAAGATACTTAAATTTGCAATTTTATTTAGTGATATTTACATTGACAGATTGTTTTGTTTTTAAAATCAGTTCCTGGTCTCTTTATGTACCGAGGACTCAACTCCCAGCTGCTTTGTGTGTCCAGGTGTGCTCTACAAGGACGTGGTGGTAGGCGTTCCTAAGGAGACCTTACAGAATGAGCGACGCGTGGCGTTGTCGCCTGCTGGGGTGCAGGCGTTGGTCAAACAGGGCTTCAAGGTGCAGGTGGAGAGTGGAGCTGGAGAGGAATCCAAGTTCTCCGACCAACAGTATAAAGAGGCTGGAGCCACCATCACTGACGTCAACGGAGCCTTAAGCTCAGACCTGGTCCTCAAGGTTAGCACAGATCCGAGAGCATAGATTATTTGAGTCTGGATGTTAACTGAATTTCCATTAATTCTTTTGAACATCCCTTTCCTGCTGAAGGTCCGAGCCCCCAGTCTGAGCGAGGTGGACCTCCTAAGGCCCAAGAGCACCTTGGTGAGCTTCATCTATCCAGCGCAGAACTCAGAGCTGATGGCAAAGTTGTCGGAGCGACAGAGCACCGTGCTGGCCATGGACCAGGTGCCCAGAGTCACCATCGCACAGGGCTACGACGCACTCAGCTCCATGGCAAACATCGCAGGGTGATTAACATGTAGATTTATGTTTTTGAAGCTGTTCAGGAATTTGTAGTCACAGAAAACACGAGTCGTTTCTTTTTGCTTTGTAGGTACAAAGCTGTGGTTCTGGCTGCCAACAACTTTGGCCGGTTCTTTACTGGTCAGATCACAGCTGCAGGAAAAGTGCCTCCGGCTAAGGTAACAACCGAGAAGTTAAAATGAAAATATGTAACCGTGGACTGTGTCAGTCTCCCACAATAATAAACATGAATGTTTCTGCTGTACAGGTCCTGGTCATCGGAGGTGGAGTGGCTGGTTTAGCTGCAGCAGGTGCAGCCAAGTCGATGGGAGCCATAGTGAGAGGATTTGACACCAGGTACAAGATGAAGGGGAATAAAAAAAATCAGCAGACTATTACATGAAGGCTGTGATGATGAGGATGATGATGATGATGATGATGATGATGATGAT